GATCTCCAGTCCTCTAAAAATAAGGAAAATTCTATGGGCCTAAATCAATCCAGCTTCTCAAATTAGGTAAAAGAAATATAATTTTTAAAAGAGAGAACTTCATGAAAAAAGAAAACATGACTCAAAATACAGGGTTAACTAATATCCCACCTTCAAAAAGTTTTAGCACACATTCACTCTGATAAGATACATTAAAGGAAAATATGACAAAAGAAGTATCCTAAAAGCAATCTATTTTTCTACTTTTTAAATTTTGACACTAGGACTATGGCTGGGTGGCTCAGTGGGAGTGCCATCCCATACACCAAAAGATGGCAGGTTAGATTCCTAGTCAGGGCACGGGTTCCATCCCCAGTCAGGGCATGTTTGGGAAGCAACCAATGTTTCATTCTCACATTGATATATTTCTCTATCTCTGTCTCTCTCCCTCCACCCCTTCCTCTCGCTCTCTCTAAAATCACTAAACAAATCCTCAGGTGAGAAAAAAAAAATTTAACACTAGAGTTGCTCCATTTTTAAGGGAACATATAGGAATGCAATACGTGCTTTCAGAGGGAACTAATATTTTAAGCTGGACTTAAATAAGTTTATATCAAATAAATAAAAGAAATAAAATAGTATGCAACATACAGAGAAAAGCAAGCAATTCTAGGATTTAAAACTACATATGTCCAATGTCCACACAATTCAGTTCTTTAAAATTAAGATAAAGGTGCCCTCGTATGGTTCTTGAAAACTACAGACTAAATGGTGAATAGATAGTCCAACATAATCACATATAGGACATCTCATATATATTTTATATATTCTAATATTATCTCAAGAAAAAGTAGACTTTAAATCTTCACTTAATTTTTGACAGATATGATTTGTTACACTTGAAAGTTTTGTATTTCTTTAACAGTATTTTTTAACTATGTTTTTACTGATTTTTAGAGAAAGAGAAAGGAAGAGATAGATAGAAACATCAATGTGAAAGAGACACTGACCGGCTGTCTCCTGTACGCCCCCTACTGAGGCTGGATCCCGAAACCTGGGCATGTGCCCACAAGGGGAATTGAACTGGGACCTCCCAGTCCATGGGACGATGCTCGATCCACTGAGCCACACCGGACGAGCAATTTTGTATGTTTTTTAAAAGTAAAATCACACTATCATATTTTTACTTAAATAGATATTTATAAAATGTTCAACTGAGTGTAAATAGTAAGTCCATAAGTTTTGTGTTACACATCTACATTTGAAACCTAAGAACAAAGAGTAACTGTTTAGACCAGCATATTAAGAGATTCAGAGGCACCTACAACATATACTATATTTCCTATAACAAGTACTTTACAAATGCCTCTATGTTTTTTCAGAAATAATTATAATTCTAACCTATGTTTTAAGTTTTAAAAAACTGATATTTCTTAGCTACCCAAGTTCAAGGAAAAGTCGTATTTTTCCCTGCTTTGTATTCAATAATAAATTAAACTTCTTGTGTTTATGAAATCTTTTAAGTCTATTAAATTTAAAGTGACTAGTAACTAAAGCAGGTAACCGTCTCTAATAACAATTCTTATATACTCACAGGTATTCTATAATTTTCAAAACACTTTCACATGCATTAATCTAATAATGTGATTTCCATAACAGCCCTAGAATGTAGGTATTGTCCCTATTTTAACAGATGAAATACTCAGAGTTCAGAAAATAGGGTAATTTCTCCAAAGTCACAGAGCTTGTGCACGGCAGAACAGTTACCTGAACACAGTTAAATTAAAGATTCATCAAGCATATTCTGAAAGGGAATGCTCAATAATGAAAAACAGAAATCAACAGGTTAGAGAGAAGGTCAGGACACATTAATAATGAAGCTAAAGAAACTCTGAGTGGATCATGAGGGGTTAGGGACTCATCTACTAATAATGAAAGAGACCATTAATGAAATCATTATAAATAACAGTATTGTTGCCATTACCAATGATGATGGCTAACTTGTATAGCACCCCTATTATATGCCGGCCCCATGCTTTGTATGTATTCTCAAAGTACTAGTGAGGTAAGCATTATTCCTACTTTCCAATTGAGAAACTGAGGTTTGAAGAGGTTAAACATCTTGCCCATGGTCACAAATATCTGAAGTCCTGATGAGGGGATTCAAATCCAGGACTCCAGAGCTCGAGCTCTTAAACATTATGTTATTAAGAAAACAGTATTTCCCAACTTGGACCACTCTTAAGCCACAAATGCCAAGGATGGTCCAAGTTGAGCCCTGGCTGGTATGGCTCAGTGATTAGAAAGTCGTCCCTCGGACCAAAGGTTGCAGGTTCGAACCCCAGCCCAGATTAGGGCAAGTGTAGGAGGAAATCAATAGATGTGACTCTCTCACATTGATGTTTCTCTCCCCAATCCCACTCTTTCTAAAAAAAAAAAAAAAAAATCAATGTAAAAAATATCCTCCAGTGAGGATTAACAAAGAAACAAAAGAATGGTCTAAGTTGGGCAATATTAAAAAGTTGTGCAGGCTATCCAGTGCCCCACGCAGAGCTTACCACACAGAAGGACCTCTAATATCTGTTAAACGAAATGTCTCCCATCATGTACCAAAACTGAATCCTGCTGTTTGAAAGAGCATAGCCATTAACAACTCCCAGAAACGTAGTGTTTGGGTGGCAAGTAGAAGCAGACTGTGGGAAGTGGGCCGAAATACAAACATCTTTTAAGGACCATGTCTGTGAAGGTGGATCTAAAGCCAAAGGTCTTTGGTAGATGAAGTTTGGAGGTTAGGCTCTAACATTACAAAACAAACAACAAAGAGAGATCCTAAATTGTTGCTTGAGCTCTTGCTTCATAACCTGAACTCAGCAAGACAACATCCTGAGAATTTCAAGCATTTCTCTTCATTCTAAGTAATCAAAAGAGGTTCAGGAACAGATAAAACTAACAGGTTCCTTCGTCAATCAAGGCTATACACAGTACTATTGATAAAAGAAAATTCATCAATAATTCAAGGAAAAGTTTGATGTACTGGTTCTCCCTTTTAAAATAGGTTCAGCTTATTGGAAAGTTTTGCTAACTACGTATACAAACACTGGGTTGGGGAAGGAGGCTGGAGGGCATCAGAATAATTCCTCACCACAATGACTTTCTTTCAATTCCTAGAATATTCTAAGCTCTTTCCCACTGTGAAAACTTCACACATACTATTCTCTTTGCTTAGAATTGGAACTCTCTTCTTTCACAGAAGAGAGCCATCTTTCAAGACAGGTCATCTTTGACCATCTTATCAAAGCTGACTGTCCTCTCCCCTGTTATTATCTATCATACTTTCCTCAATTGGTAATTTTTCTTATTTACCTGCAAACTGTCTTTCCTCCCCAACCCTACCTGAAAGGTAAACTCCGTCAGGGATGAAACGGTTCAGATTCACTCTTTTCTTCACCACTCCCCCCCAAAAGAAGACCAACCTCCCTTAAAAATTACATTATTTTTATGTCACCCATTTTGGATAAGCAATACAATCCTAACTTGTCATTTTGCTGTTTCACCTCCCCCGCACCACCACCTAGACTGTAAAGCTGTAAGATCAGGAAACCCAGATTGTACTTTGACTGCATACTGTGATTTGCAACACAGCCATATCCAATAATTAATTCTATTTGAATCAATCACCTGAGGGCCGGACAGAAAGTGTCCTCTGAGCTCTGACATCATCCTGTCTATATATCTATCACCTCTCTTTATGCATATTAAAATTATCTCATGGGGAGGGTGACTGGATTATAAAATGGATATAATCTTGTCTCTGCTTCCTGAGTCACACACACTCTCATAAACATGAAATAGTCAATTAATGTTGTACCTAACTAGACACGGTTAAGATAGGCCAAGGAGCCCTTTAGGAAGATTTTAATCAAAGAAAAACTTTTAGTCACACTACCAAGAGTACTCCAACTGATTCTGCTAATAATTTAACTAAGCAGTTTCCTCTAGTTGTCAAGAGATTTCTGAGATTCCCTTTTAAAAATAGCATTGCTCCTCGAAATTCCCCAGTAAACTTAAGTAAATGGTCCCTAATGGGCTGGGGCCTGGTATTTTCACAGGACCCCTGTCAAGAGCCACCCAGAGCTAATAAGCATTTCCAGTGGGAAAGGCCATTAATTAGGAACGCTGCCTCCGAGGTCCAGACACCACACTGTGCCACCTTGACCCCTGCCTAGCTATTTCCTGCATCTCTCCATTTAAACCGAATCCACTCTTTAGTATTTATTTATTTTTCCTGCATGCAATGCTAACACAGAAATTCCTCGCCCAGAACAAATGGCTTCTCCCCGGCCAGTGGCTGTCTACCTACCTTCCAGGTGGCACAGGCCTGAGCAAACCCCCGCCCCTCCCAGTTCCCAGACACCCCGCAGAACTTTGGAAACGCGGGTCCAACAGGACCGCGGAGCCCGGAGGTCAGGTCGGTGCTCCGGCTGCAGCTGTGCCCTGAAGGGACCGAGACGGCCCAGCGCGGTGCCCCGCGGCGGCGGCGGGGGCGGCGCGGGGCGCGGGGCCGAGGGGCGCGGGCCGGGACGCCGCCGCCGCCTACCTGAGCAGACCGGGACACCGAGCCAGGCCCCGCGGCGCCGCTCGCCCGCCGCAGCCGCAGCCGGCGCGTTCCCGGAAACGCGGGCGGGGCGCGCGCCAGGTAAGCCGGGCGCGACGGGGGCGGCCGCGGGGGCGGTCCCGGGCCAGGTGGGCCCCGTGGGGCGCGGGGCAGCCGGGCAGGGCCCAGGGCCGGGCGCAGGCGGAGGCCGCGGCCGGGGCCTGCGCGGGCCCGAGCCCGGATCCGGCCCGAGCCCGAGGCGGCCGGCCTGGGGCGGGAAGCCGCGAGGGAGGGAGGCCGGCAGGCGCGGGCGGCTCCGGTGGCTTCCACAGCCGGGTCGGGGGCGTCCGCGGCGGCGGGGACAGGCCGCGACGACGCCGACGGGCGCGCCAGGGAGCCGGGGTCTCGGCGCTGCTGCGTTCCTTACCCTGCATGCTGCTGACGGCCGGGTGGCCGGGCGCCGGGGACCCCACGGGGCCCGGGGTGCCGCTGCCGCTGCCACCCCCGGAGCCGCCGCCGCCGCTCGGGCTCGGAGCCGCCATTGTTGGGAGTGAGGAGCCGAGCGGCGCCGCGGCGGCTGCAATGCAGCAAGCTCGGCCTCTCGCTCGGCCGAGGGGCGCGGCCTCCGCCCGCCGTGGCCACGCCCCCGGCACGCCCCCGGCACGCCCCCGCCCGAGCCTGACGCCGAGCCGCACCAGATGCTGAGCCCTAGAACCGCCCAGGTCGCGGGTGCTGACCCGAAAGGCAGGCGGGCAGAAGTTCTGCACCCCAGCTGCAGGCCCGCCCGCGAGGCCTAGAGCGGTTGGCAGAATTAGGAGTCTGTATGCATTGGAGGGAAATAAGAGGGTACAGAGTTTGCATCATTCCCACAGAAGCTGTGACCCCAGAAGTTTAAAAACCCTCTTGTTGCAGTCAGATGCTATTCCCTTGAGCTAGGATTGAGCGTCCTCCCATGCAGTGAGAGGTCAGGTTGTATTCCTGGTCAGGGCACATGCCCAGGTTGCGGGCTCGATCCCCAGTAGGGGGCTTGCTGGAGGCAGCTGATTGATGTGTCTCTCTCACATTGACGTTTCTCTCTCTCTCTCCCTTCCTCTCGCTCTAATAAAAATAAAAACACACATTTTTAAAAACCCACTTGTTGGATCTCAGGACCCTAAATCGGAATGCTGAAGTTGAAAGGGATCCCAGGGGTCACACTTGTCTAATCCATGATGTGGACCTTTCAGAGGGGAGCTGGCTCTAGCTCTGGTTCCATCTGAAGCTCCTGTTAAACCCTACCTAACACCTCCACCCTCTCTTTGCCTTGGGGGCTCCCAAAACTACTGAATGATAATCTGCATTTTAATAATATCCCCAGGTAATATACATATATACCAGAATCTCTCCAACCTCCTTCCACCCACAGCTTACCGTGCTGGGACTTCCTCAGAGCATGTTGGAAATGTGTCCTCAATCAAAAGAGCCCTGCCTTCTTGTTCCAAACCCATCCTCAGACATCCAGTGGATTGCTCAAATGCTAACAGTGGCCACAGATAGGGCTTAGGGAACGTGAACAGAGGGAACAATAACGACAAATTGAAGGTGAAAGCAGGTAGGTGTACTTAAGTGGAGAGTCTTATATTCCCATCTGCCACTCTCCTCAGAGGGTTTGGCTGACTGAACAATATCTCCAAGTCCAGGACATTAGAAACATGGCCAAATCCCCATCTAAGGAATCAGTTGCCCACCTCACTCTTGTTGATCCTGGGAAATCCTAAATGTGGGCTTTTTAGAGGGGAAATCTTATCAGAACCAGAAAGGACAGTTTCCCATCCAAACTGTTTAGCCCAGAGTACAGACTAAATATTCTATCTATATCTTCTGCCTGATGCTGATCGAGGAGAAATAATACATGACAAGAGAAAAGGAGGGGCTCTGGCTTCCTGTCATTCTACCCTGTTAAGGTATAGACTGGTCGATGGCTTTCTTTTCTTTGGGGTTTACATTTTAGTGACTGGAGGAGTTACTATCAATAATCAAATGAAATTCTTCTTTCAAAACATCAACACAACTTGCCCAAGATTTGAAAGAACTAGTGCAGAAAAATAGGGATACACACACCTTGCATTTCCATTGGATTGGCCACTTTGGCATAGTGAGAAAAGGCAACAATAGCCTCTTAGTTTACTGTCAAATGAACCAAGTATGATATCCTGTCATAATCAGGCTCCAGTTGCAGGATGACCAGATGCTAAATAGTTCAATTTGAGCAATTTTCTGACATTTTATTCCAGTATCTACCCGTAGGGTTCCACACCAGTTCCTGTTGTCTAAATGTCACTGGTGTGTGTGTGTGTGTGTGTGTGTGTGTGTGTGTGTTCTCATTTCTCGTTTCTAGTTCCAGAATCCCAACCCCATTCTTTGATGTGGATAATTAATATATTCATAGTCTTATGTAAAGTGCTATAAGCCCCTTTATCCCATTATATGTATTTCTTTAATAGAAACTTACTAACTCTTTTTTTTTTTTTATCCTCACCCGAGGATATTTTTCCATTTTTTTTTGTACAGATAGAGTGGGAGGGAGAGAGAGGAAGGGAGAGAGAGAGAGAGAGAAACATCGACGTGAAGGGACACATCGAGTGGCTGCCACCCGCACGACCAACCAGGGCCGGGGACAAACTGCAACCGAAGTACGTGCCCTTAGCGGGAACCGAACCCGGGTCTCTCCGGACCGCAGGCCGACGCTCTAACCGCTGAGCCAAACTGGCCAGGGCGAAACTTATTAACTCTTTAATGGAAATCTTAGAAGCAACAGTAGAGATTAGACAACTACTAGAAAAAAAATTTTTAACATGTAGTTTTCCAATATTGTTTTAGATTATGTATAGGTTACATTTAAGTGTATTTAAAAGGAGTTTAATCAAGTAAGAGAAACATTGACCTGATATAGTTAAATAAACTTAAATTAAAAAGTATACGTAACAAATAAACTTAAGGAAAAACATTCAACCTAGGAAATTCATTCAGGAAAATTAAGAGTAATATGTAACTAATTAGTTTTGTTTGTTTGTTTGTTTGTTTGTTTGTTTGTTTAATAATACCTAATGCTGGATTTGTGATAAAACTGAAAATACACTTGCATTGATGTTAGCATTGTAAAATTCTGGATATGAACCAGGAAAAAGAACCATCGATTAGATCTGCATATGGGCAAAATGAGAAAGGACCTTGATTTGTTCAAACTGATAAAGTTATGAGATTTTTACCTTTTCATATGCTCATATTTTTCTTATGGTTTTAAGAGTTTTTTTTGTTTTGATTTGATTTTTTATTTTTTAGAGACAGAGGAAGAGGGACAGAAACATGGATCTGCTGCCTCCTGCATGCCCCCTACTGGGGATCAAGCCCTCAACCCAGGCATGTGCCCTGACCAGGAATCCATTCGGAACCTCTCAGTCCATGGGCGATGCTCAATCCATGGAGCCGCACCAGCCGGGCTTCTGTGAGGTTTTTTAAAATGTGTTTTATTGTTTGTTATAGACTGAACTGTGTCACCCAAATATTTGTATGTGGACGTCCTAATTCCCAATACCTCAGAAGTGATTGTATTTGGAAGTAAGACCTTTAAAGAGGTAATTAAGGGCAAATGAGGTCATATGAGTGGGCCCCAAGCCAGTAAGACTGATGTTCTTGTAAGGAGAAGAGGCCACAGACACACACAGAGGGAAGACCGTGCGAGGGCACAGGGAGAAGCGGCCACCCACCAGCCAAGGAGAGAGGCCTCAGAAGAAACCAGCCCTGCCAACACCTTCATCTCAGACTTCCAGGCTTCAGGTCTGTGAGAAAATACATTTCTGTTGTTTAACCCACCCAGTCTGGTACTTCGTTATGGCAGCCTAACTGACTCACATATGTCAAAAAATAAATGGCTTAAAAGAAGTATAGCCTTTTTAGTAGTGATAATAGCAATTGGCATCATCTTTGGGGAGAAGGGAAAGCAATTAGGCAATATGTATTAATAACCAGCATATTCACATTTATAAGAGCTTCTTAGGAAAATTCCCAAATGGGCGTAAAATACTTGGTTCTGCCATGTAGTGACTTTTCCTTACCACTGGAGGATGGGAATAACAGATTAAGACCATTGGTGGCAAGATCAGAGTGTCCTGTCCTGACACCTGATGCAGAGAAGAGTAACGTACATGTCCCCTGTTTAGAGCACCTTTGTTTAGAATCTAGCTTCCTGGGTTTTTTTGGTTAGATAAAGAAAACGTTTTTCACTTCATTTTCCAAATAAATCAAAAGTAAGTTACAACTGGGTTTCACCTTAGGACCCCAATTTCAGCCTCTGAGAAGATAATAAGAAGGGTCAGACACCTCTATTTGGCTGAAATAATAATCAGATATTCCCTATGAGTGCTCAGCAGTGGGCTTTGAGCAAAACTCATCTTCTGTTCATCCCCATATCACAGAGGGCTCAGGTCCAGGCCATGCAATGACTGATTTTGCCTCTTTAGTTGAAGGGCTGTCCATTGTGCAGGTTTCAGGATATTGGTTAAATACTGCATTTAATTGAAAATAAAGGGCATGTGGGAAGCTTTGACTCGTTTATGCCATCAAAAGAACCAAAGTTCTGCCTGGTTCAGATAAAAGAAGACATTAATTTTGACTATTAATAATCATGCATGGGCACAAAGATATGTAGGTAAGTGTTCATCACAACATTATTTATAAGAGAAAAAAATTAAAACACCTCACTCTAAGTCACTACCACTAAATGAAAGGTAATATTGATAGTAGTAGCCATTGCATGACAGATATAAATATATACTGTAAAGATATAATTCTCATGTGTTAGAACTAAACCTACAGCCTTTCCTTGTATTTTGTATTCTGTTTCTCTATCCTCACTGTTTTGTTTTGTTTTTAAATAAACTAAAATGGAAAAAAGAAAACAGGGGGAATGTCTTCTGTGGGGGGAAGAAAGTGCAGCAGGATTGGCTGGGAAGGAGCCGGAGGGATCGTTAGAAGGTAATGGTCATGCTTCACACCTTGATAGGGTTTTGGGTTACACACATATACACACTTGTCAAATGCAGCAAATATATGCTGCGGATTTGTCCACCTCAATGTAAGTAAACTATACATCGAAAGAAAAACAATAAATAAATATTGAACTCTAGCTAATGGTATGAATGCTAAGGTAGTCAAGAAGACATGTATTGCTATCTGCAATTTACTTTGAAATATGTCAAAAGTTGTGGTACATATACACAATGGAACGCTATGCAGCTGTAAGAAAGAAAGATCTCTTATCCTTTGAGATGACATGGAGGGACCAGGAGAGTGTTATGCTAAGTGAAATAAGCCAATCAGAGAAAGACAGATACCACATGATCCTACTTATTTGTGGAATATAATGAACAAAAAAAGTTGATGAACAAAATAGACCCAGAGACATAGAAAGGAGTACGGTTCAGACTGACAAAACTGCACAGGAGGCGGGCGATGAGGCGGGGGGGGGGGGAGGGATGAAATGAAATTAACCAAAGAATTTATATGCAAATATGTGTAACTAATGGACATAGACAGCAATGCTGGGGGTGG